AGCCATTTCTTCTTAGTAGACTATGTAAAGCATGATTTCAATTGTCTTGGTATTAGAATGTATTTTCAGCTACAAATTAATAGAATATCAAATAAATATTTAAGAATAAGGTTGCCTTGTCGAGCTTTGTTTAAGGGAGACTAGGGGGCAATTGATTTGGGGTCTTCAAAAATGAGAAAGGAGAACATCCTTACTTAGACTCTTCATATTACACCCGTGTTGGCTACTCGACACTCAAACATCTCTAGAACGCATCAACCCTTCATTATTGAACTTTTTTCATGAAAAACCCTCACATAATAGCCTAGTCAGACACTTAGACAAGTAATTCTTCCTTTCTTCTTCCATAGTTCCATCTCTTTCTTGTTTCCTTTCCCTTTTCTCTGTACAAAACAAGCACCCCATAGGAGTAATTTAGAAAAAGAAAAAAAAAAAACACTATTTTCATTCTAGTTTTGCTCCACTCTTTTTCTTGCAATAGTTGTTTGGGGGTGCATGAGAGCACAGAAATGATGAACCAACAAAATTTTAAGAACGCTTAACATGTTCATGTTAAGCTTTTGTATCATTTTATTGATGTTTTTTGATACATCCTTATTAAAGTTGAAATTATCTCAAGTGATCTTATAGCTTGAGAACATCATAATTGTATGCCCCACTATCTCCACGCTAATTTAGGATGATGCCCTTGCTGACTTACCCATGCAACTTCTTATTCCTCCTCACCCTTGGCAAAGGGGGAAAAAAAACAGAGAGTCTACCATTTTTAAAAGTTAAAACATAGGCCTAAAGTACCACTTAAGCGCCTTGGAAAAGTACATTAAAACCCGTCCACCCACGATTACATTTAAGGGAAAAACTAAATCAAATAAGGAAATTTTAAGTGTACTCTAGAAATCTAGAGCACCAATTAGTCACCTAATTGCATATAGAACTTAAGCCTTTAAGCAACCTGAATGCAAAAACAATAACATTGAGCTGCAACTTATCCCCTAGTAAGCTATCCACAAGACAGATTGTTTAGAACTATTTTGCACATCCTCTATCTCAAATCAATCAAAGCCTTAATTTCATAAGTAAGGTCGGCTACATGAACCAATTTGATTATTCCGTGTGGTCATCCACAAAAATCTTCCTCCTCCAACCCATACGATCCAAAACCTCATCCTCATGCAGGTCCATATACTTCATATCCATCTTAACTCCTTCGAACCAAGTCATTTTCGGTCTCCCTTTCCCTCGTTTAACCCACCCCTCCATGATCCCACTCTTCCACTCTTCGTAACAGTGCACCCTCAAGTCTTCGTCTTGCATGCCCAAACAAACGCAGACGATTTTCCCTTAGTTTGTGTGCAATGCCTACCACACTTACTTTGTGTACCTCATTCCTGATTCTATTCCTTAGAGTGTTCCCACACATCCACCTTAACATGCACAATTGAATAACCTTCATCTTTCTAATGTGCTCTTCTTAGAAGCCAAACATTTGGTACCATAGCCTTAACATCTCCTATCTCAAATATGACCTATACATATTTTGAAAATTGAATAGGAAAACCCTATTGAATGACAATAGATATTATCATTCACTTCAAAGATAACCCTAGCAGTCAATAAGAAAAAATCATAAACATCAATGAGGCCTTGGTCTAGTGGTTACATACTTACATGTCCCCCCACCCTTTGAAGCTCATTAAGACCCCAAAAACAAAAAAAACAAAAAAATAAGGAAACTCATAAATGTTTGATTAAAATACTAGATAGATATTAAGACATAAAAAAGGAAAGACAATTTGTCGGTGAGTTTAATAAATCAAGCGGCCCTGCTTGGTGTGGTTTTCTGCAAATCTGCAATCACCTCATAAAGATATTAAGAGATATTATGACCAAGGTTCTGTCTAAAAGGCCAATACGGATAAACTAGAATTACATTTACGGAACTAAATCCCATTCTCTTCACCTTATATTCAAGGCACCAAACTCTGTTTCCTAATTAAAACAAACTTATACTGATTGTACATGTTAAATGTGATTAAGTACAACACCTGATAAAACCAAAGTCATTCAGCTAAGCAGGAATTACACAAACAAAAAAATTAAACAGAACAATGAATACAGCATTCCAAAGAAAAAAACATAGGAAATATTAGCAGCAAAAATACCAGATATTTCAAGGGACGAAGTGAAAACCCCTTGGTATTTGTCAAATGATCCATAAGGCGTCCAGGTGTTCCTACCTATAGAAAAGAAATAATAAATGACAAGACATAACAGCAAAAAAAAACTAACCCAGTATCACATTTAAATATGCTTCTAAACACCTCTACATAATTTTTAAATGCACAGACACACACTTATAGACTTGTAAAACTTCCAAATTAGTTCTACATGCAATATGCACGGGTATACTCCACTAGTTACTGGTAATGTAGCACCTATAACATTACATTTATAAGAAAGGAAAATTTCAACATTTATACAATAATTTATTCAAAATCCTTAGAACAACTCAAATCATGTATTACAATAAACAAATAAATAAAAAAAAAAAGTGAATGATCACGTACTACAATGTGAGGCCGTCTTGCAAGAGCAATCTGCTGCTGGTTCATGTCCACTCCCCCAACAAGCTATAAAAGATATAAAGCAGTCAGCAATCATGGTACTTGCTTTATAAAAATTTAAAAATAAAAAATAAAAAATATCATAAAACTCACTACAAAAAAGGCAACTACTTTCAATCATTCATCAGATATCAAAATGTAAAAAAGACATAAAGCTCTGAGAAAGTTGAGCAGTATTGCACACAAAGGCAAGAAAGGAATCAGCTCATTAACAAACTTACCACTGCTGTTCTTAATCCAATGCTAGCTCCTAACGCTTCAAATTGTTCGGCAATTTGGATTGCAAGCTCCCTGGTGTAACAAAACAGCCAAAAATAAGCAAAAGGATAATTCTAGAGGCATCATAAGCTCATTTAATGGAAATGCATTACTGAGCGAGAACAAACTAAGGCCAAAATTCCCAGTGTTAGATACATCAAACAGAAAGCAAACATAACCTTTATCATAAACAAATACTAGTAAAATTGAAATATATAGTAACAATGACTCCTCAAGGCTTCCTTAGATGGTGGAGTATATACTGTATCAAGTTTATGTCGTCTTATGATAGAAGCTGTAAGTTATTCAAATTAAAGACAGTAACGACATAACGAAACAGCCGGTAATAGGACTAACTAAAGGGAACTCAACCATTCAACACTGAAGCATTAAACCAAAAATCAACAGCTCCATTAACCAAAAGCTCACCGAGTGGGCAAAAGCACGCAACCGAAGAATGGCTGAGGTGATTTGGCTTCCAGTAAAGCCTGAATTATTGGCAATGCAAAAGCTCCGGTTTTACCAGACCCGGTTTGAGCAAGTCCAATTATATCCTTGCCTATTCGAAAATCAACAATTGTAAATCAACAAAAATTATACGAGTAACAATTAATTAAATTAACAGAAACTGAAACAATTAATCAATTAACAGAAACTCAAACAATTAATCAATTAACAGAAACTCAAACAATTAATAAGATAATTATGAAAAATTAACAGAATTCGAAACAATTAATCGTATAATTATGGTAAATTAACAGGAATATTAAAAAAAAAACCTGCAAGAGCATGAGGAATGGAATCAGCTTGAATTTTAGTAGGAGCAGTCCATCCTAATTTGTGACAAGCTTCAACCAAAAGATCGCAAATATTTAGGTCTTTGAATGATTTCACTTCTTCTCGGTTATCTTCCTCCATTTTTGTTAATGGCAAAATGCAAACAGAGGAGAATTCGCAACAGCAAATAATTAGGGAAGCAAGCGCAAGAATAACCCAATTGAAGTCGAGAACACTGCTACTACGACTACAACTACAACTACAACTACAACTCAGGTTTAGGGTTTTGTAAAGCTGTCAAGCCTTATTAGTTTACTCGTTTTTTTTATTTCAGCCTTATTAGTTTATTCGTTGTATGGGACAATTCACCAGATTGAAATTAAAAAGAAAAATACTGACAATCTGCCTCAAAAAAAAAAAAAAAAAAAAAAAAAAAAAAAAAAAAAAAAAAAAAATAGGGTTAGAAATTTAGTTGGGAATTTTTTTTAAAAAAAAAACTCGAAAAATGAACTAAATTTATCACAAGTATTTTTTCGAAATTTTTGTATTTCTAGGCTAATTGTAGCTTGAGGATTTTTTTTTTTTACCAAATTGTCCTTTAGGGGTAGCTTTTTTTATCAAATTGTCTCAAGAGTAATATTTACCAAATTGTCACTATAGGTCTTTTTTATTACCAATCTGGTCAATTGGCCCCTTCATAAGTAACAAAATTAAAAAATAATAATAATAATAATAAACTCTCGCAAGTTAACGGGAAAAAAGATAAGAAAATTCTCACCCGAAGTGTCTCTAATGAAGTTTAATCCCACAACCTCTTACTATATATATATATATATATGTATGTATTAGAACAAATCTTGCTTAATAAAACCACTAAGCCTCGTTTTCAATCTACGTTACGTTTGTAACAAGTCTTTTCTTCAATTAGCTCATTCGTCGTCAAAAGGTGTATTGTGGTCATTTGGATAAAAGGTCGTTAATGTTTTTTTTCAACAACTTATGAGGTGGACACTTGTTGAACATTATAATAAAGTGACATGTGTTTTTAAACAAAGTTTGTCTATTCTTAAAAATTGGATATAAAAATATATACTATGTATATCAAAATGTTTCTTGTGGAGCATTAGAAGGCAACGGTGATGCCTACAATCGTTCACAACTTTTTAGATAATGACAACGATTGCAATCGGTTAGTGAAGTAAGAGCAGCTCCCAAAACTATGGGAACGAAACATTAACAATAATTGCACATTCCTCAAAACAAACTCTTAGAAGAGGTCAATAGCGAATGGAAGATAAAAGAGAAAAGTAGTAGAATTAGTATTTTGTTGTGGTACAAAAATTAAAAGATAAACTTGTATTTTCTCAAATTAGAATATGATGGCCCCCTCTTTACAAGTATAGTAGAAGTGTAGATATCCATCATTCAATAATTGGTAATTTTGTAATTTAACAATAAGAGAAATTAACAATGTTAATTTAACGAAGAACAACGATAATGGAGGATGTACAATTTGAAGAGCTTTAAAGAAGAGTTTAGAAACTTCAATGGAGAAATTAAAGCTCAAGCTAGGGCAACTCGGTGAAGGAGGACAACACCCTCATTCTTTGGGGTAAACCACGCCCTTTATTTCTCCCTTTTTCTTAGGGTTTTAGTTTAATTCAACAGCTTGGACCGCCAAAAATGGCGACAAACATGTCAAGGAAGATGAAAAAAATGAAGATGTCGGTGTTGTCACATGGAGGAAATGGTGGTATTAGTGAGGGATCGAAGGAGGAGGTCGAATGAAAAAAAAAAAAAACAAACAAAAAAAAGGAGGTTAAAGCAGCTTAAAAAGTACTGTACGAAATAAAAGAAACAAAATATTGTTTTTTAAATCCACCATTCAGCCACTAGATAAACGAAACTTGTTGCTGATGTAATAAATCAATAAGGGCGCGGCCTTTTGATTTTTTTCAACTTTTTGGAACTTTTCTTGGGCAGGTACTTAGTCTCCTCCAGATCATCATACTCTTTGCTCTTCTTCCCACCAGATTCCTTGTATTTCTGTAGATATATATATACCTTCATATTAATTAAAGCGCCGCTAAAGATAAAATTAATCACCAATAGCAAACTAGAGATGCTTAGAGCATCCATGTGCCAAAGTTACGATATGAAACTATGAAAGATATTGTCAAACAATTTTTCCTATTTTTATTTATTGTAAATTTCTATCTTCTCTAATTGCACACAATTTTTACCACTTTCTCGAAATGAAAGTTAAGTTCCCCATCTATCTACAATCCATAGAGGTTAAAAAGATTTAAGGTGAACGCCTAAACTCTCACTCAAAGATGGATGTGGATTTGTAAATAAGTCATGCAAGCAGAACAAACTTACTTTATCTGCAATCCTTCTCGCCACAGACACACGTTCATACAGAAGCAACATTTCTTCCTTTTCTACAGGATACGTTGGCAACTGTTTTCCTATAGCTCAGAATATAGATGAGAGGTTCAACCACATATCCAAAAGTCCATGATAAAAAAAAAATAAAATAAAAAATAAAAAAAATGCCACAGGCCTACGAAACAACTTACCTGTTTCTTGTTCTATTCTGTAATAATTTCCGATGCTGTATTCAGTTACAAGTGCGATAGCAAGTCCTGATTTCCCAGCACGTGCAGTTCGCCCTACCCAATGTATATAATCCTGAAACCCACAATGACATTAGTGACCAAATACTGTGAAATAGCATCCACATTCTCATGGTAAATAATAAACAAATGCTCATTTCCAAGGGCCAATTGTAAGAATGCCTATCACATAATTATGACCTAATGATATCAAAGAGGGATAATATCAAGTGTAACACAGAGTAACCATGTTAAAAATTCATTATTATAATTCATATAATACAAAAATCACTTCAATTTGAACCAAAAAATTGCAAACCTTTAGCAAATAAAAGTTGCCGGTGACTGCTGTACACAAACCTCTATCCAATACTAGTAAGCAGTCTATGTTTTGCACAATACACATTTAAATCTCCTATTCTCCTAGTGCATGAATTCCTAAATCCTATTGGAAAAGACAGAGGGGTAATGAATAGGACAGGAAAGAACAATGTTCTTAATTTTCTTGATTAATTTGCCAAAAGTGAAAAAATCACCTCTTGTTCTGCTGGGACATCATAAACTATGACCAAATCCACAGAGGAAATATCAAGACCTCTACCAGCTGCATTGGTGCAAACAAGGATATTGCAATCTCCAGCTTTAAACTTGTTCAAGGCTCCCAGTCTTTTTACCTACAACAAACACACAAAAAAACAGAATCGGGAAGTCAAACTCTTGTAAGTTGGCAATATATTACTATAAATCTAGCTATATTGTAGTAGGGCGCCAGTACTACACAAAGATAAGGAAAAAAAAAAATTAAACAAAACAAAGGTAAGAAAACCTGAGTCATATTGCCATTAAAGTGCATTGCTCTGAAACCAAGAAAACGGAGCATTAATGCTAAAATTTCAGTTTCAGCACAGGTACGAGTAAAAACCATTGATGTGTATTCGGGCATCTTCATTAAAAGATATACAAGAGCACAAGCCTGACAAGATAAAAATAAAAAATAAATAAAAATGTAATGTGAAGTTCATAAACATATCTCATGGCTTCTTCAATTTTTTGTAGGCCTCACGTACATTAGTCATTGCCATGTTTTATGCATGAATTATCCGATCAGTAATTATAAAAGTAGCAACTACTGTAAGGTAAATCAGCATTAAAAACAGCAGTCACATTGGAAACCTTTTGCCCACCTTTCATTACAAAACCAAAATAAGATAGTTCATTAAAGGAGACAAACCTTTTGCTTAGCAGGAATCAAAAGATATTGCTGCATTAATGATTCAACCGTAGAAGATACAGAAGATATCTCAATCTGGAAGGGGAAAAAATAAATCATGACATTTGGTCAAGATATAACTAAAAAGAAAACTGCTTTTCAAAGAAACTTAGATTTTCTTACCCTGTAAACCAGTAAAAAATTTATTGTACGTTTGATTATAACACCCGAACAGAAAAAAAAATGTACTACGTATTAATGTTCACAAAGATATTAGTGTCATTATAAATATAAATCTGACCTTTACATGATTCCTTATACAAGCTCTTTGGAGCTTCTTCACCTGCAGTTAAAAAGGTGGAAAACCTCTTATTTCAGACATTAAGATTATCGGAAATATCAATCTCTTTCAAAAACGCCATTCATGTAACCAGAATATAATGAATTTTATTGAACGTAAAGGAACAACTCACTTGGTACTCCAAAGTCCAAACAGGGTAATAGACTAAGAAAGTAGTAATGAATATGTGTAACTTTAGATTGGATGTCCAGTATTAATATCTACATTAAAGCATCCAATTTTTCCACCGACTCTCTTCACTCATCCGCAAAACTTTTGATGATAACAAGTAGTAGTAAAAAATAATAGAGAACAAATTATTATATGCAAATCCATAACCATGGACTTTGCATGAGATATTCTGTGTATACACACAATATCGATCCCCAGTACCTCAATGTATTGTTGACCATGTATTATAGGAGTACTATGGTAATAACTCAGTTTCTAAATGATCTTAACATTTACTATTTGCACAAATATTAAGAAATAAGATAAGTGGTTAAGTTAAATGTAATAAATACAAGTAGTGATCAAAATAAAAGAGAGAATGCATAATAAGGATTGTGGGTATAAGAAAAAATTGGACAAGGTATGAGAAGAAAAAGGGGTAGTTTCTAATTGATCTTAACATTTACTATTTGCACAAATATTAAAAAATAAGGAAAATGGTTAAGTTAAATGTAATAAATACAAGTAGTGATTAAAATAAAAGAGAGAATATGTAATAAGGATTGTGGGTATAAGAAAAAATTGGACAAGGTATGAGAGGAGAAAGGGGTAATAATTGTGGGGAAAGAGGGTAAAGTAGTAATTAGGATTTGAAAAAATGGAATAAAGTGAAAGTGTTAAGTAAGAAAGTGAGTGAAAAGGTGATAAATTTAGTGGTGTAAGAGGGTAAGGACAAAGTAGTAAAGGGGATAGCAAAAATGGAATACAGTGAAAGTGGTAAGAACTTTTACAAAAACAGACCAAAATATAAAGTGTGATCAACCAGAAACGGAGGTAGTATAATACAAGTCGTAATTCTCTCAACAAAAACAATACCTCTAGAGTACATTTTATATTCCCAAACAAAAATAAATAGCACCCAAAGTAACAAATTTATAACTATTAAACAAAAATAAACATTGGTTACTTGCAAGAGTTGCAACTCAGAATAGGTAAACAAAAACAAGTAAAGGTATAACAATGAGACACACATAGGAAAACAGCTCCAAAACCTAAACCGCCTTTGCCTTCCCCAAATAAAGCAAGGAGGAAAAAGAACATAAGGATTTTCCTTCCTCCAAGCCTAGCCACCTTTCCAGATATCCATTAGCAACACTAGCTAATCAACACTACTCAGCTTTTCTACCTAGTGTTTTTAAATTTAGAACTTTAAGGTTGACCAATTAAATAAAAAAGGAGAAAAGGAGCACCGTAGGATTTAAAATGTAAATTAAAGAAGTGTAAAAATTCCAAATCTACAATGGTTTGGTCACTTATCACTAGTGTTACAGTGACAAGGGAGAGAGAAACATGAAGTGCGCTAGGAGAAAACATTTTATTATTTGAAGGGCTGCAATGGTCATAAAAAGGAACTTACGACACATGTGAACATTTGGTATAAAGTTATAAATTGTGGGAATAGTAATGAATTTGTGTGTAAAATTTGTGAAGAAAAATTGTATTTCATTACCAATGGTAATGTGAAGTCACCTCTATACCCTCATTTTCTTCATAAATGTTCCTTACCATTTGCAAGGTGATATTGAGTGGTAATGGAAATTTATGAAGAAAATCACATGTATGGGATGGAGTTCCATTACCATGGTAGCGAACATGAGATTTATTCATTAACAACTAACCTTACCCACAAATTCAATTACCATTCCCATGATTTGAGACCGCCAAGTCGCCAACCCAACGTGTCATAGCATTTGCAAAGCATTGAACTCAAGAGAGTAAAAAGAGGAAAACTTACTTCCTATCAACAGACGACAGAAACAACTAAAACGAGAAAAAAAAAATTTGAAACACAATTTCATCCAAAAATGTCATAGTTACCTTTTTTGTCATCGTGGCAGAAAATAGGTAAGTCCTTCGCTCATGAGGGATCACTTTCAATATATCATCAATGGATTTCTCAAAGTCCATATCCAATAATCTATCTGCCTCATCTAATACCTGTACATAATAGGAATAACACAACAATTCAACCAAAAATTCTGAATGAATAAAGAAAATGAAGCCAAAAGAAAGGCAGCTATATTTTATAGTAGTTGCCCCATATAGTACATCCTTTTAAGCAACACAACAAAAAAAGCCAAAGCCCTATTCCCAGAAGAATAGAGTTGGCTGCATGAACCAAGAGATGGTCATCCTTCTAATCAATGTAGAGTTGTAGACCTTAAATATTAAGCTAAGAGAACAAACTATCGAACAGAGAGGTATAGTTCTAAAGCCACGGTAGACACCTCAAAATTCAAAAACCAAATTATAAGGTCTTTATATGTTATAAGCTTCTTAACGAAGTTCCACCTGTTTTCTTCTCTAATTAAAGTAATACTCAGAATATGTTATTGTATGTTATTGGAATAACAAAATTGCTGGCTTAAAATTGCTAAAGGCAACAGCCCTTGAAGGCTTGAACAATCTCAAATGTATGATCCTTGAAGGAGAAAGTTTCAAGTACAAATCAAATTTTTTGGGCATCTTTCTTGAGGAACCATCAACTACTGCTCTTTCTCAGAAGGTAGTAAGATATGTATATTACTTTCTGGTCAATAAAGAGAACAGTAGGTGTGCAGGACTCATACTGTTCAAACCCACCAATGAAATGAGTTAAATTGGAAAAAAAATATATATATATGGAACTTTATTTTGTCCGAGGCACCTGTTTACAACATGAGAATACATCAATACCCTCTTTGGGAAGTTACTTAGTTACAAGATGTAATACTAACAAATGCGAAAATAGAGCAATATTCTATACATGCAAAAGACAAAAGAGTAGCCACGAAATTAAACCAAAAGTATGAACACAGCAGCATACCAGATGCTTCAACGAACAAAATGAGAACCCCTTGGTATTGGTCAAATGATCCAGAAGACGTCCAGGAGTACCAACCTAGAAGAGAAAAGATCAGATGGCAAATAACATATCTGAAATCAAAACCAACTAAGCTTTCTCAGCCATGAGATGATACAACATAACCCCAAGATGGGCAAGATCCATCCTAATAAAGAATATGACTCGAGATTATGACACTTATTTATCTACACAGTCCATTTAAAGTAGAAGAAAAAAAAGAACCTACAACAATTACAGTGTTAATCTACACTTCTACAGCATTAGTCATTCTTGACCAATAGAGTGGAAGTCTCTTTGTTATGCAAATGTAGAAGACTAGAAGTTTTGTCTTCCATCTCCGAAAGGGAAGCCCTTAGTTACTGCTCATATCAACTTAAATATCCATTGGCCCATTAACTATGTAGGAACTCAGTTAACAAGCCTCTTATTAAAAGACACAGCCGAAGGCCCAAAACTGTTGAAGTTACTGAACATGGTTGTTCAAATTGAGGTTTACAGTCCTGTTTGTCTAGATCAAAAGCATAAAAGAGCTAATATATTAATCTATCACCCAGAACATTAGTATAGCATTTGCGATAACTATCAACATACAATCTATCTATTTAAATATGGATGAAACAGGAGAGCATAAAATATGAAGTAGAGACAAATAAGCAAATGTGAGTGACTGAATACTATGATGTGAGGCCGTCTTGCAAGGGCGAACTGCTGTTGATTCATGTCCACTCCACCAACAAGCTACAGAAGATTCAAGGTAGTCAGCATTCAGGTGACCATTATTGATGGATCTTGCATTTAAACACAATTCAAATAACCTTGTATTATTAGGATAGAATGTAGGAACCAAAATTGAAAAAAGATACATATGAAGAAGTCAAGACCCAGCACAATAGTAATTTATATTCAAGGATGTTAAATGCATAAAAAATGAAAGAAATTCAAACTCACAACTGCTGTCTTCAACCCAATACCAGCTCCCAAGGCTGAGAATACTTCACCGATTTGAATAGCAAGCTCCCTAATTAAATTCACACCAAAAATAATAAAAAGATTCAAAAAAATCCTTAAAAACAATTAACACGATTATCCATCAATTGAATGAAAAAATAAAATTACCGGGTAGGTGCAATGACGCAAGCGAAGAAGGGACGAGGGCGATCAGCATCGAGTAAAGCTTGAATAATAGGCAATGCAAATGCACCTGTTTTGCCAGTTCCAGTTTGTGCAACCCCTATTATATCTTTTCCTGATAATTTTTATTACAAATTTCATCAATTTATTAAATAAATTCACTCCAAAATCAAACAACAACATTATCGAAGACCTTAATTTTAAAAAAAAAAAAAAAGAAGTAAAATTAAAAGAGAAAACCTTCAAGAGCAGAAGGGATGGCTTGAGCTTGAATTTGGGTAGGAGTTTTCCATCCCAAATTCTCACAAGCTTCAACTAATAAATCACAAACTCCAATATCTTTGAACGATTTTTCGTGCTCCATTTTTATGCGGAAATTGAATCAGGGTTTTTAGGGTTTTAAGAGGAATTATTGGGAAACTTGATGCTGAAGCGGTTCATCTCTAACATACCTGCTCTATTTTTTTGGTGCTATTTATAGGTTCCCCCGTATTTTTTTTTTTGCAATTATTCTAATCGATTTTAATACTTAATATTTAATTAAATGCGTTATCAATCAATGTTCAGCTTTTATAGCTCAGTTGGTTAGAGCACCCGTTTAGTAAGCGGGAGGTCTTGAGTTCGACTCTCAATGAAAGCAAATTATTTTTTTTAATTTTTTGCTGAAACTTACAAAACAAAAAGCTTAATAAATCCACCCAAAGTATTACGGAGTACAATAATTAACTTATAATTGAAAAGAATAACAATACATTAATCTGAAAATGACATTGTTACAGTACTCAGAGTTTCATAGTTAATAACCGTCATTGTAAACCTTAGAAGAAGTAACCATGCCCACCTCTAGAAGAGGGATACGACTAATTCTCACAAACCCACATCTTCAACAAACAAAAGAGGCTGTGGCCGTTCTGTTGCCCCCCTAGGCCCCTAATCCCTATACAGAAGAATTGCACAATTCAGATTGACAATTTTGATTGCAAGTATTTGATCGGTTGATCCTTAACAATTACTTCCCTTTCCATTCATTCTTCCAGACATACTCATACTAACTGCTTCCATATTACGTAAGTATACTCTGCTCCGGAGAGCCTCACCACCTATATCCCACTTTTTTTTACACTAATGCAATGAAAAGTAAACACTTTCTAAGATAACCTATTCGTGTAGAAATGATCCTATTGAAGAACAATCGCCCAATATTCTCTGCTGAATTCAGGAAGTGATTTAAGACAAAACTTTCATCTCTCAGCGCTTTGAAACAGTCAAGTTTGATTCAGTTGCTGAGAAATCACTGAGGCCCTCACTCTGTAATCGACTATGCAATGTCTCCATATTGTTTTCTGGTGGGCATTTATTAGCAGGATTCTTGGCTGACATCTGACAGAAGCATTCAGGCCATGAATTTGTGTAGAATGATTCAGGGGATATCCGCTTATGTGGACCACCAAAACTTGTCTTCGCCATTACACTTCTCACAGCTTCTTCAAAACCAGCAGAGCGCCCCTTTTCTCGGTCAATGAAAATTGGGGCAAGAGCTTTCCTGTCTGGCCTGATTATTGTTCGAAAACCATAGTACAGGCGGTGGCCCAAAAGATTGTTTGCAAAGTTGCTTGGGCCATCATACGTGGGCATAAAAATATCTGCAAGGAGGCAAACCATGTAATCCACAGCCGACCCCAGCATACCCCGTGTGTTCTTTTTGAGCTGTCCTGATGTATCAACAGTGCTGTGGTTTTCAAGATGTGGGAAAAGAGACCTAAAAGGTTTCATGAAACGCTCACCACCATAAAGGTCACCAGCTGCAAGATAGATCCTGGTGGAGTTGTCAAAACCCATTGCACGAAGAACAAGACCTACCTGCAACAGAGTGACCACAATTACCATAAAAGATTAGAAAATCAACAGCAAACCTCCTTCAATGGGTATGATGGGATCGCAGTTAGCAAGAAATTTCACTAGAAACAGGCACCAAAAATAAATGCATCACAGTACAAGGACTGAACAGCTCTGAATGCAACGGAAGGCACTTGAGCATTTGCTTGTGTGTGTTTTGTGTTTGTGAGAGAAAGGTAAGCCATAAAACAAGAATAACAAGACTACTTACTCACAGGTTTAAGTCATTAGTCTATCTTTCAGCTAGGAACAGGGAAACAACAAATTAAGATACTGACAGAACAGTACTCTAGCATGGTAATCTCTTTAAACTTCTAGTCTCAACTAAGAAGTTCTATAATAAGGCCATAAATTGAAGTCTCTGGGATGCAAAAAAAAATGATGGTTTTTCTCAACATTAGGACATGAACAATGACCTCGGAGAACTTTGGCAAATTTAATTTCATTTTATCAATTCTACACAAACATTTATAAAACCAAAGGGGTAACAAAAGAAAACAATGACAATGAATGAATGGAGTCAAAATATACCTCTTCTGGAGTCAAAGGACATTTTCCAATTGCACGTCTCTCATCATATACAAGTTTCTTTGGGGCAAAATTCTTCTCCCGATATTCTTTCAATTCCTTCTGCTCCTTGGGGGAAAATATATCAAAGCACCTGGACAATATTGGCCAGCCATTTAAATAATGGTCATTTAGCAGTTAATCTTTTCTACATAATCATTAAAAAAAAAAAAAAGTAGGTATATTGACAGCCTCCGAGCCAATTAAGCTCTGTATGTAAATGAAGGAAAAGACCAGTAATCAGAAATCCTACCAATGTTATTCATCATATATAGTGATTCTCAACAAGCACATGACTTACCCAGCAAATGACAGCATATCCATCTCAAATCGAAGATGTATTGCCATGAAGCGACCTTGTGCACGTAGTCGATTCACTATTGCATGGCTCAGCTCCATTATATGACGCTTAAATCTGAGAGCATGATAATTTACCCTGCACCGTAACCTCTGATATTCAGCATTGTCGATTTCCTCAGCCAAACGATGAGAGAAGGGGGTAAGATAGATAGCACCATGTTCCTTCATCTTCTCCAAAGCAGTGGTTGTATACCAACTGATGGGCGCATCTCTTGGAGGGTTCATCTATATTTTAAAAAAAAAAAAATTGTGACGCGTGTATATTGTATAAGAGCAACTATTTTGATTTCACATAAGAAAGCAGTAAAAACTAAAAAGTACCTGAAATGTTTTCATCTTCTTGGTCTTTCCATTTTTGTGAATCTCTGGAACACTTTCAACAATTCGCACATCATATCTCAGAGTTCTGATAAAATGCTCCACATCATAGATACCTTGAAATCCACTGTATTACGGTTTCAAGAATTACATAAATGCAGTTCACACAACAAAACCCGGGAGAGAAGGGAAGAGGCGGAGGAAATAGGGCAAAGTGAAACAAAGAGTTAAAAATAAAATAAATAACCCTTGTCAACCCTTCGCTCTTACAGTTCTGTTGTCCAAACAATGAATGGCCTTTTTATCACACTCCCCTTTGTTATCTGTTCCCTTAATAAATCTATAACTTTTTTTAAGTTGCTTAAAGTTGACATGAAGATACATACCTGTCATCATGCCAAAAGGAATTGGCATCCAACTCAGGTAATACTAGTGTTGCATTCATGATTCTAGCAGCAAGAACAGCATTACAAATCTACAGAAGATAAGGCCAATTGTTAGGTAAAACAGAGTAACATCTTGCTGAAAACACAGGGGAATTCTGGGTAACATCACATAAAATAGATAGGTCATGGAGACAAACCCACACTTGTGCATTATTAAATAGACAATGGAAAGCAACACAGATCACAAAAATGCAAAAAATCACTTTTAAGAAGTATCTGAGCACAAAATTAATACAAGCAATTTAAACCTACAATATGCTGGCGGCTTTGACTAACCAACTTCAGAACAATGTAGATCCATTACCAAAGCCAGAAAATAAATAAAGGTAAAAGACCAGCAATAAATTAGATATTAATTCATTAGATATCCCACATGAATTTTTAAGAAATATCAATGACTCAATGTCTTCTTTGGCAATTCTGAGTTTATAAAGTGTTGAATAATCAAGTTAAAACCTAAATTTCTGAAGGGAAAACCATCTACAAGTTAGTGGAAGATACACAATAGTAATATACAAATAAATTTCTTTATACATACGTGCATTAATATTTTCAATTTATTCCTTAGTAGTAAAACTAGAATCTAATCTATTCAAGAAGTTGACTCTTAGGAGCCCTTGCTTCAAGATAAAAGCTAGACATCGTTCAAAAATTGTTTGGTGCAATGCGCTACCAATTCATTGCCTAGAGCCATTACCTAATTTAACAATTTGTATACTAACATCCAATTATCCAAATATTATGTAATTCTTTTTTAGCGTGAAGTATCCCTTTGATGTTTATTAGAAACCCACCTTAGCTTTGTTCAGGAAGTCCTATCACAAAACATCAAAGTAGTTTATTATGTTAACAAATGTACATGTGAATAATTAATTTTGCTAGGTATGTAATCAGCCAGCAACTAAAAGAATTTTTTAATGTTGAAGATATCATAGAACTCATAATTGCAAACGAAAACTATCCATTTCTTGAGAGGAAGCATGAAATTGAACGAAATAAAGTCAATGAAGAGGATACTTACTGCAGTTCTCTGCTGATTCAGACCACCATTGCAGCGAACACGCAGGTACCCATTTGTCTTAGATGGGGGAGCTACAGCATTGGAAATAGGGGTGAAGCAAATGAGTTAATGTAAAGGAGCACATTGAATCCGATATTAAACTAAATCTAGTCTCATTGTGTCACTAGCAGAAAAATCTTACGAGGCCAATCAGAACGAGGGGCAGAAGAAGGTCTCCAGCCATCAGAAGGCGCAGTTTGCCAAAGATCCTCCGTATTTATCTAGTAAAATAGAAATGCATCAGCACCAATTCAAAGTTTCATAAACCATTACCAAGCAAACAGTGATCAAAGATTTTAATTAACTTGGTTGCATGATGTAAAGAAGGGAAATTAAATCACATATCCATTCGCCAATCCACAAAATCATCACATTTATGCTAGATTATAACCACATTATAATTATTAGCTGAGCAATTAACATTTTGAACCAAAAATACAATCTCTTCAATTTCAAAAATGAATAATACGAAGTAGGTATCAATATCCAAATTGATGCAAAAATACGAAAATGTTGGAAGGAAATCAATTCACCTGAAACTGACCTCGGTTCTAGTGGTAGATCGGATAGTGGACCTTGAAGTGAAGAGAGAGAAAGTGCAAATGACGAGAACAATGGCGGCAATTATGAGCTTCCCAATCATCCCCTTCATTATTCCACTCCATTGCTTCAGCTGTCGTCTTCTCTGTCCCATTTCTGCTGCCCTAAAACAAAGATTTTGATCGAAAATTAGAATTGCAGAAACCCACCAATTTATGCAGTAGAACAAATTCGAGATCTACATCATACCTTCTCATGCTCTCAATTTGCGCAGAATTGAAAGAGCTAGGGTTTAAATTTGGGATACAAGTGATCCAGCGTTGGAGTTTGTGAGGAACTCAGGAAGTGTCAGTCTGGCGGTGAAATCGGATACTTGCTTTTCAACTTAATTGGAAACAAGGAGACTATTCAATTAGACAATTAGGGGTCGTTTGGATGGGGTTAATCATCAAAGGA